TACAATATTTTTATTTTAACTTTTTACAAAATAAAAATAAGTAAATATAATAATAAGAATAATAATATTTGAATAAATAATTTAATACAAGTAAATGCATTAAGTGCAATATTATAAAATACTTTATTTTATATGGTTTTTAAGTAGCGCAACTCTCTTATTAACGAATATATTATCTTAAAATAAATTGCGAAATACATATATATTAAATAATCTTTAAAAAATATACGCATGTATAATTTATGGCTGAATTTACGATTCCATTAATCAATTACTTTATACACATCACACATACATATATACTATACGATATCTATATACACCATTCTAATCCACAAATATAACTGCTTGCAGCTTGTCAGTGCGGAGGCTCTGCTGCTGAGTGTCGCATTGGCCCAGCAGGAGAGCATGCCCTACCAGGCCGTGGCGAATATTTGCGCGACGTGCACCTGTTTGTCCGCCCAGGACACGAATCATCGCCTGCACCAGACACTCAACTGCGCCATGAAGAACTTCGAGCACATTCTGGCCCGCTGGCCGCCGGAGTTTGGCAGCCAGCACGCGGACATGGAGATTGTTGCCTCGTTTTCGGGCAACCGCATTCGGGTGCTGCAGCAGCTACCGGCCACGAATGCCACGCTGACGTTCTCGTGCCGGCACTGCGGCATACAGCAGCTGGAGGTGCCGCTCTTCATGGACGTGCCCAATGTGGAGGCTCTCTATCTCAGCTGGAATGAGATCAAAGACGATGCGCTCAAGCCGGATCTGTTTCGGGGTCCCTTCAAGGCCACCAAGTACGAGCCGATTGCTCTGAAGGACTTGGATCTCAGCCACAACAGCATCTCGCGGCTGGATCGCAAGCTCTTCGAGCACACGCCACAGCTGAGGAAACTGGCGCTGGCCCACAATCGTCTCAGTGTGCTGGATGCGGCGACAACGGCATCGTTGGCCTCCATTGCCAATCTGCAGCGCTTGGATCTGTCGCACAATGGCTTGCTAACGCTGCCCGGCGATCTCTTTACCAAGATGAGCAATCTCTACCAGGTGGACTTGTCGGGCAATGAGTTTACTGTGGTGCCAGCCGGCCTGGAGCACCTGGGCAAGAGCCTGCAGCAGCTAAGCTTGGCGGGCAATCCTTTGGCCAAGATCGATGCCCAGAGCTTCCGCCACCTGGATGCACTGCGTCGCCTGAACATCAGTGAAATGCCAATGCTGCGCACCATTGAGCTCGGTGCTCTGCAGCTGCCCGCCTTGGAGCAACTGGACTGCGCGCGCAATCCCAAGCTGGATCGACTGGAGCTGGTGGATTTGGTGACCAGCCGGAATCTAACGCAGGTGGACATCTCGCAGAACGCGCTGACGACGCTCACACTCAACGCAACCAACACGACGAGCTGGCCAAGACTGCGCAGCCTGGCCATTGCTGGCAATCCCTGGTACTGCAGCTGTGAGCTGTTCCAGGCGCTCGAACAGGCCGGCGCTCCTCAAGTGCTGCAGGCGCCCAATCTGGCGGTCGCCCGCTGCGACACGCCCTACTTGCTGGCCGCCCTGCCGCTGACCAATCTAACGGCCCAGCAGATCTGCAACATGGTCATACCGAAGAAGTATCGCGCCGTCGAGGATGATCCGCCCAGATTTCTGCGCCGTCGCTACATCATCCTCACGGTAATCATTGCCAGCGTCGTGGTCGTCGCCGGCCTCATCATCGGCTTCATTGTGGTCTGTGTGCGTCGTCGGCTCAAGGGCAACGACTTCGGCGTCCAGCCCATACGCTACACAAGTGTGCGGGGCAGCAATCTCTCTGCCTTCTCGCAGCTGCAGCCGGTCTCGGTGGCCACGAAATTCAACAATGCCGCCGCTGCCGCCGCCTCCGCGGCTGGCTCAACGGGCGCCCCCAATGCCTGAGACGACGCCTGCTCCTGCCTGCTGCACGTGCTCCGAGCCAAAGATGTTCACGAAAGTGTTTCAGCCACCACACAAAACAAGACTTTGCGTGCATGCATTTGCTTGTATATATTGAATATAGTATATGGGATATATATACATATATGAGGTATATATACATATATTCCAGCTCCCTGCGTGGAGACTTGCCTTCGTATCCCTAGGGTCTAGTGTTGCCATCGATGTTTGTATTGTACTTAAGATTCGTTAGCTTGTAATCATTGTGAAATAAAATGCATTTTTATAAACATTTTCAAGGAATTATGTATATTTGAACTGATACAGTGGTCACTAGTGCTTGAAGGACGGCTAGTGACAAATCTTGCGTTAAACAAACTGGGCTAACTTTAAAGGCTTTGATTTAGTATATTAAAATGTAACTTTGACATATAATCACTTAACGTGCTTAGTATCGAGTGAGTACTGTAGTCTAGGATATACATACGTAGTTGTTTACATATGCTTTAGTCGATTTTCTATTTAAATCCCTATTTGATTAGGATAGAATTAACAATGTGTATCTACAGTAGTCACTGCTGTATAAAGAATTGTTATAAATATTTGCAGTGAGTAATATTCTGTAAAATTAAAACTCTCTAAAATTATATGTTTTAACAATATCAAAATATTAGCGTTAAATATAAGAATCAGCTCAATTCTTTTTAGCGAGCAACCACTGTAGTGTGCTACATAAGGGAACAATAGTTAAGCTTCTCAATTCATGAGATTCAAGTACTATATACATGCCATAATATTCTCTCTAAATTTGTTTATTGTTATTTGGTTCTGACTTTTTGTACAGCACGAAAAAAGAATCCGAGAAAACTGTGAAAGGCGAAAAACAGTCAGAGAGAGGCCGATGACAAACTGTTGTAGCCAGCTGTGCCAGCTGCTTATCTTTGAAATGTTTATAGATGAATTGCGAAAGTATTCAGATAATGCGACTAATGGGGGTCTAGCATTCACTTTCGATCAGCTCCTCCTCCAAGGCAGGCGCTGGCCGTGACGGCAGTGAGTCACCTGCCTTTGAGGCCAACAACTGACGCATCTGTCCATCCAGCTGGAACAGATTGACGGCTTCTTTCTGGGCAAGAAATTGACGCATTTCTGCGAAATTGTCGCGCTCTTTGATTTGTTTGCTGCGCTTTTCGTATATCTCATCCGCTGAATCAGATTCCGAGTCGCTGGGACTCGCTGGCTCCGTTAGGCGATTATCCTGTTGCGCTTGCTGCTCCTGCTGCTGTTGGTCCTGCTCCAGTTGCTCCACTTTGCCGAATAGCTCGTCAACATTGATGCCTTTCGCGGCGAGCACTTCGCGCTCCTTCTCCAGCATCACCCGGCGAATGGGATCGATGCGATCTTTGAGCTGCCTCAGCACCGGCTTGAATTTGCCCTTGGTGATGCGCTTCTCGAAGTTGAGCAGCTCCTTTTCGGGTGTCGGATACGGTGCCGGCTGTTCGTCTTCGAACTGTCGCGCCTCCTGCTCGTCGTACATGTAGGCATAGAAGTCATCGCACTTTTGCGGCTCATTGGGATGCTGCGAGTACTCGACGCGTAAAATACTCTCCGGGAATTCATCTTGTTTGGCGGGCGACTTACTTTTCTCCGCCGGATCGACGCCCAGATCCAATTTGCTATTCAGAAACTTGTTATAGACGAGCATCAGCCGCTGGAAATCATCGCAGCACACCGCCAGAGCATTCTCAATGCCACGCATATTGTTGGCCACAGCCACGAGCTGATCTGCATTGTTCTTCTTGGCCGCCTCGGCGGCGGTCAACTTCTGCAGGGTGACATCTAGGGCCTGGCACTCGCCGGCCACAGCCACCATGCAGGCGCTGAGCTTCAGGGACGAGTGCTGCAGCACCGCAATGGGACCGCTTTTCTGTTGCTCAGCCTTGGCTGCGTGCAGCTGTTCGATTTCCAGTTGCTTCTTGTTCTGCATGGCAATCGATAGATTCTTGAAATGCTGCTCCTCCTCCTGCACGAGCTGACGCACCTGGTTGTCGATCTTCACCAGTTCCTCGCTCAGCTGCGAAATAGAAGGTCGCGTCATAATGGTCAGTGCCAGACGCAACAAATACTGAGACTGCACATAGGCGAATATGTTGTGAAAGTCCTGCAGTGAATATAGGAGATTAGTTGAATATGTCGATGTCGAATCGTTCAGTTACAGTAAGCACCTTAATATGCTTCGGACTGTAGTCCGTGACATTGTTCTTAAAGTATTCACATTCGCGCAGCTCCTCCATGGGCGCATAGTAGGCTCCGTATTTGGGGGGCAGGGGATAGTCGAGCTCCAGCTTGCGTGTCGCATCATAGAGGATTTCGGTGACCTCCTTAGCCGCCGTAATGCAGTCCCAGGCGCGCTCAATTTGACGTGATCTACGAGCGGAAAATTAATTTCAAGATAAGATGATTAATTATTCTATATCTTGCACTCACTCAATCAGCTCGGCCTGCTTCATAATGATAATCTCTTGAAAGTAGGTCATGTTGCGCCTTATGCAATTGCCAAACTCATCGATGGTCTTTACCAGCTCCTCGAGTTTGCGCTCCACGATTTTGTTGCGGCACACAAAAACGCTTTTGACGACGCATAGGGCGCCAAATGTGGTGGTCAGGAGGATGGATGGCATCAGGGACAATCGCAGGCCACGCGGAGTAACCAGATGCTGTAGAACGGTGCCGCCCAACAAAATACAAGCACTCCGCGTGGTTAGCAACTGCCGGCCGGTTGCCTTTTCGGGATGGGTTTGCATACATTGCTCCAGAGCCTCCACATGATCAACTAGCAATCGCTTCGAGTAGAGTATGCGCTGCAGCAGCTGATCTGTTATGGCCTAGTTGGGTATTGCTTGTGGTCAGCATTGATATGTATATGTATGTGCACCTATGTATTTATTTTCGACACGGCACTCACCTGTTTCTGCTTTAGCTCGTTGGCCAATTGACGGCGTCCGAAACATGCCTGGGCGTAAAATGTGAGTAAATAATTAATTGTAATTGGTGATCCTTTGCAGCATAGCTTACCGTTAATTTTTCCATTATATGCGTAGTTATTTTGCACAACAATTTAGTGGTTTTATTGCATTGGCTTTCAACAATATTTACGTTATTCATATGTGCAGACCAGGGATGCAATTGCGAGACGAGCTGATTTGATGTCTCGCTCTGACATATGGCATTTTCCATGTGCCGCTCTGAGTGCAGAACCAAAACAAACGTAAGCGCCGGATGAGTAACGTTAGCGCAAAACTGAGCAACGTTAACGCAATATTTCGGATCCTATCGACACATTAAAAACGGGAAATAAATCCGGTAATTTTGAAACTGAGAATTTCAGAACAAAATGAGTAAATTATTGGAATGTATTTTTACTGGATGTAAATACATTTTATTCTATTTGTCAAATATACCGAAAATTAGAGTTTCATATGTTATGTATGCATGATATGTAATATGTATATTATATATGTCCTGAAATGTAAATCGGTTGGCGTTCAGGGTATCTCCTAAGCAGACACTCCAAAATATAGCGCACTCTTACTTGATATAATCATTTTTTTTTTTTGCACCCACTAATTTTCCAATTCCAAATCACCTTCCAACCAACAATTAGAATGCGAAATTAAAAAAGTCCTGATTGCTGCAACCAACTGGCAATTATTATCCAATTGTGGGCTGGTGCTAGATTTCCGTATATATAGACGTAGTGAATAGTAAAGCTTTATAGTGTTTGAAAAAGCTTTGTGAAAGATATTGTGCAAGATATTCCTAGACATGGATAACATAAATCAACCCATTAAAATTGAGGCATTCTTTGAATTTCAGAAGTTTCAGCAATTCTTTCATTTACTACACTTTAAGTTTTATCGCAATGATGAGGGACGCATTGTCAACAGATCGGAATTGGTTTTCTTTACGGGCTTTTCCTTGGACATCTGGTTCTTTGGTGTCAATTTATTTGATATTTTCTGGTCGATGTATCGAGGCGTGGCTTCCAGTCAAAATCTGCCCGTCCTGAGTATTTCGGTATATTATGCCATCCGTGGAATATTGTTGTATACGAAGCGACACGAAATTATCGACTTCATCAACGTGATGGATCGGGAATTTCCACGGGATTTGCCCACACAACGGCACCTCCAAGTGCCGGAGATATATGAGCAGCACAAGAAGCGGAAAGGCTACGTCGGTCTCTTTGCATACGTCGCTCTTGGTGGCTTCAGCATTGCACCGATTATTTTCTACATACTCGCCTATGAGGATCGGAATGCGCCCATCCTGTTGGACCAACAGCTCCTTGGAGGCTGGCTACCGTACAATATTCGACAGATCCATTTACTGTATCCATTCGTGTGGATCTACGACGTCTACGCCATGCTCGTCGGCGTAACCTACTTCACCAGCTTCGACACCCTGTTCATTGCATTTCAGACGCTGCTGCGAATGCATCTGAATGGCCTGCGCAGGCAGATAGAGCAGCTCAATGCCGTCGACAGTGAGCATCCAGTGGATGAGAAGAGGTTCTATGCGTACATCAGCAGCTTGATACGCCGCCATCAAGAGATCAATGTGCTATGCGACAAGTTTAATGATCTATTCAAGCTGGCAATCTTTTTGAGCGATCTGGTCGGAGCCACCTCCATCTGTTTCCATTTGTACTTGATGTCCGAGGCAAGCGACAAACTGATGATTGCCAAGTTCTTAGGCCCCACCATGGCTCTGGTAGCCTTCACCTTTGAGTGTTGCCTGCGTGGCTCACAGCTCGAGGAGGCCGTGAGTTTAACTATCACTATTTTAATTATTATATTCATAGATATATTATTTCCCAGTCAGCGGGCTTGAATGAGGCATTGTATAACCATGGTTGGTATCACGGCAGCAAGAAATACCGCAAAGTGATGCTGATCTGGATTAAATATTCTCAGTGCACCCGCAAATTAACGGCTTATGGGTTGGTGGAAGTTAATATGATGCACTTTACGGATGTAAGTTGAGCTTGGACTCTTATTGAAAATCGATATTTATAGTTTCTTTTTACAGATTATGCAACTTGCTTACAGACTTTTCACATTTCTGAAATCGCGACAGTAGATATATAGAGTTGCAGTTAATTTGACTATTTTCTATCAAATCAATATTATTCGATTTGACACACCCCAAAAGAATCGTCTAATCCTTCTATGCTAATCATAAATTGTTTAGGTATTTTCATTTGTGATTTATCTCTAATGAGAAATGAAATAATGAATGAGAAATGAAATAATCTCTAAACAGTGTAATCCCGCTTTACAAATAGGCTTTAAAGCTCCATTTCTTATTTAATTAGATTAGATGTTTAGATTACATTAGATGATTAGATTAGATGTCTAGATCACATTATTATGATTGTTTAACTTGAAGCCCCAATGCAAATGCAATGAATGAAAATGATCTGATATATATATATATACAGATGCTTATGTTACCCAATCATGATTTAACACTCATGTCAATTTCGTAACGAATCTGAGGTTAACATCAATGTTCGGGAACTCTGCAGCTTATAACTAAGATTTCTGATATATCTCCGTTTCAAAAAGTTATTTTAATATTTTTTTATTTTTTTTTTATT